CAACTGCTCCCCGCTTATGTTTTCGTCTCGTCTCCTATCGTTGCCGAGCTTCATCAGTGGAAAAAATGATTTGACTCAGAGTATCAATTTCCTGAATGGCGTTGCGCTGATTACTCCAATAAGTGTGTGGGACTACATCGGTAACTTGAGTATAGCTCAAATACGGCTACTTATAATGATATTACTGTTGTTACAGTTGTTCCTTTATGTTCACACCAGACGCGTTGATTTATCTTTTTTGATCGCTTTCTACCATCCTACTGGCTATCCGATTCCAGAGGTTCCGGGGCGTTGGGTTGTGATATCGGGAAAGCTCTCTAACTGATTTACAACAGGCGTTCACGAACCAGGGGCCTCGCTCAACTCACTCACCTGATAACTGCGGGTGCGCTTCGTCAGAAAACAACGATCTCATTTGTGATTGAGGGTGAGGGAATGAACAATCCAAGTTGATGACACCATTTTTCAAAGGCGTGAACTTCATTTAAACTAAGGGGCCAGAGGTTGGGATGGTGTTTAGATGAATGGCTGGTGTGACGTGGAGTGAACTGGAGTGGAATGGCAATCAGTAACGGAATTCAACAACTAATTGACGGGTTTCTTTGTTTATCGTAGACTATCACTGATCGCTGATTAACGGTCGTCATGGTCGTCGTGTAACACTCCCAACCAGAGTAGGTTAAGTAGACCCAGGGGAGGAAGAATCAGTCATGAAGAATGAAATTCGCGGCATGGAAATCAATAAATTCCTTACCAGGTGCCAGAAGATCACACTGTCCGTTCTGTTAGCTCTCTCTTTCTCTGTTTATTGGGTCAAGAGAGAGAGAACTTTTTCACGGGTCGTACGGGGTAGACATTACGTATCAGTTATTGGAAAATAGAATTAATCGATGTTCAACTGTTTTGCTAAATTCTAACACTTGTAAAAAACTAATTAATCTGTTCGACCGATGTTTCAGAGCCCCTGAAGTTGAGCACTCTTTGGTAGACCAGGATAGTCATGGTACATTGAAGATGTTACTATACGTATTGATTCTACATTTTACGCTATATCGACAATGTTTTTCAGTTGTTGGTCCTTTTGACTGGGGGTGCAGTAGAATTTGATCGATCAAAATGAAGGATGATTACCAAATGCCTGGAATGACACATACACAATATATTCAATATATCTTAGAATGTTAGAAGTTAGAAAGTTAGACCAGATAGATCAATCTCAAGGAATTATTACCATGAGACTAGGGAAGATTCTTGATAGTTTACAAGAAGTACTATATGAAAGATTGATTAAAACTTCCCAGGAGTTCAGGACCGCGCATCAGATATACGTATTACTAGTACGAGTATGCGTTGACAATGGATGCAAACATCGCATGAATGAAAAAAAGCCGTTAATGTGCTTCTGAAAACTTTCGCCTAGTACTTCTATACTACTTAGTATATTGCCCGAATCTATTGAATCTACACATCTAAGAGCTATATTTCATCATGAAGATTTAGGATTTGGACTATAACTTTATAATCATCTGTTATTCGTGCAACTCAAAGTCAACGGGGCTTTTAGTCTGGGAACTTTGTTGTAAACCACGTTCAAATGTCTCCAATATCGTACTGATTTCACCGGGTGCCAATAACCATTCGTGCATTGGATCAGCAAGCCAAGAAATGTTCCAGCAGGGAGCTGATGATAGAGAGATAGATAGATAGAGATAGATAGCTGTGTTTACAATCGCGTTTAAACATAATACAAAAACCTCAGTCGGATAGGCGTTATATTCTAGTATAAACCATAGTGGAGTGGCAAGCGACCACTACTATTAACCGGTCTTGACTTTTTGCAAATCGAGGAATATACAGACAGGCTCACGCTTGTTGCAACCGCCATGACATAAAATTTGTATATCATCAGTACCAACTTACACCAATGAACTTTGAGTAACGCGGATAGTAGTGCTAGCCATTTTCCAGTTTTTTTCATTGGGAGACATTGCAGTAACTGATGGAGTTGCTGAAGATAAGTTAATTGCCAAACCGTCCCCCGGTGTCCGTGATTGAAAGAAATCGCCAATCGACGTCGTTCAAAGTACTCAAACTGACACGATTTGAGGGAAAGTGAGAGCGAACATGGACAATTCGGAGTTTGATAGTTTAGAGGCGGGTGCCTCACGTTTCGGCGACCATTCGAACGGCCTAGTAACACGCTTCAACGAGGCCCCCAAATACCGAAGAGATAATTTATAAACTGTACAGAGTTTAGGATCAGCAAAATGTCATCGGAGGGAAATGACCGAATGAACTGGTTGTGTTTATCAAGATGCCGGACACGTGCCTACTGTCAACAACAGCCACCCCCACCGTCACTCTTGTGTATCCGCTCGCGCGCGCGTGTATGTGTGTGTATGCTGGATGAAGGACAGACGGGGATTGTTTTCTGTGTTCCGTGATGATGATGTCCTTGTTTGTGGAGACATTTATGATCCTGTAGAACCTGCTAAAAACGGGTGGACTATGCATTTCATTCAACCAACCAAACAAGCAAACAAACAACTAGCCAATCCAATCCCGTTTCACCGCCAGGATGATGCACCAGTGAGAGTAAGATGTGAAAAATGAACACGACTGAGTTGTTTTTAATTTAGAATGATTTAAGCAAACAGATTGAGGCACCCCAACAGACCTCGCACCCCATGGTATCCGGCTTATTGCATACTGACTCCGTTTTTGCGATTATCATTATTATTCGGCTGTGCACAACTCTGCTCCTCTAAATGAAACACATCCGAATGTGGTCGGATAAGTGTCACGGATTAGGATCTGTATGGTGTATTTCCCTGGACTGAGTTTGGGGGAGGGTAGTAGGTTTAGTTAACGTGACATTTCGACTTTCCGTGTGTGTTGATGATCAGCTGATCTGATTTCGTGTCCGAATTCGGACGGAATGACATTATCACTTTTTTTATCATGCCAACAGAAGCTACCAGTAATAGATACATAATCAGCACCAAGTCTGACGACAAATCCCGACGAGGATAACAACGGCGGAGGGTGATAGAACATTAATCGTATCTGTCTCTTAGATAGCTTGCTTTCACACGCAGAACACGTCTAGCTCTTATATATATATACACACACATACTTTTCAAATCGAACTCAAAAAGGTGTTTTTCCGAGCCATATTACCCCAAGCAGAGTTACTTCAGACCGATCTCAGAGGATTCATTTGTCTAGCGCATTTCTATTCATGTTTGAACTGATGGATTTCCCGATTTTACAGATCAAGTTGCACCATGTGGTTCCATGCAATAACAGCCGTTACACCCAAGGCTAAACGGACAGTGCAAAAGCATCGAACAACGGAACTTCCCGAGTGACTTAAGAACTCGAATAGGAACATCTATGAACCGCTATCAAATTGAAACAGGCATACGTATGCACAGGTTCAGAAAGCCACTGCGTAATCATTAGCTATCCCCAGTGCGAAAGCAATTCGCCATGGATCTTGTTACAGTTTGTTCTTTCTGTTTACTGTTTTCTATTTACCTCATAAGATCGTGTCATCAGATTCGATAGAGCGTCGACTTGGAGTGTTCAGAGATGGAAACACGATAGCATATTGCCGGTCTTTGCTGGTACATTTCTAACTGCATTCAACAAAACGATACACTTCGGTTTGACCGTGGTTCATCAACATCCCGGGGGTCCGATCAGAGGTGCTTGTAACCACACCGATGCTGTGTGACTTGTAATCACGACAATAACAATACCTTTCGAACTGGTTGACTAGGAAGTGATAAAATTGTTTGTTTGTTTGTGTTTGTGTGTGTGTTTGTTCAGTGTGCAGATATCAATTATCAGGGCATATGTTTGAACTTCCACTCCCTCCCCGTAGACTGACTGCCCATTTCTCGCAGGCACTTCCACTGACACCCGATACAGTACTACCTCCTGGGTTCTCTTTAAGAATCTCACAACCCAGATAACCGTTTCTTTCTGTCCCAAACTGTTTTTCTGAAATGGAGCACGACACTGGTAAAATATAGTTGACCTGAAACTATCTGTCCACTGTATTCTTCACAACATGAAACAAGTAGGTTCAACATGTATCTAGACAGAAAGTGCAGAGTTTGTGTAGCTAAGTCGTTCAAACACGGGCCGTGACCGTGAAGAGTGATCATGGTTAGAAATCAGTGCAACAACCGAGTTCAGTCGAAAAGGTAAGCAGAAAATCGAGGAATAAAATTCCAAAGCACCTACAACGAGTGAATCACGTGATACGATAACCGATTCATCAAAAACTATGATGGCATATTAACTCCAGCTTGTAAAAACGGGATATAGTGCTTTCACGAATTGGAGAAAATAATTTATAAATTAAATATTCCGAGAATATCGCCAATGATCTTGCAAAAATGAGTTATATAACCCTATTTTCCCAACACATCGGTAAAAATATGTGCTTATCTCACATGACAGTTCGATGATGCACTAAGCCCTCGTCTATTATCTCTTCTGTATTTGACAGAAATCTCTCACGAACATTGACATGTGGCAGACTGCATTTAACGGTGAACGACATGGACCAAATCAATTTCATTCGGATAGCGTGATAGATTATGCACTTCGTGGTCCGAAATCCCCGATAAAATGGGCTAAAGTAACAGAACTCCAACGAGGGTTGTCAATATCGCCCCTCCCGCAGCAGCAGCAACAGCAACAACAACAGCCGCCACCACTACTGACGCCGCTGCCTCCACAACCAACGTCAGCACAACAATCTCAACCACAGATGCAACAACAACAACAACAGCAGCAGCAAAGACTCCCGACACAACCACGAATACCGGCTTTGCCAATTCCAGAGGCGACACAGTGGCGATCATCGCAAGAATTCACCGCACCGGAACAACAAATCTTACAACAAATGTTTCACAGTTACTGTCACGATTTACTCCGAACTAACGGAACAATCCCATCAATTCCATCTCCACAACAAGTATATGCATTGCTACAGCAGGTGTTCCGACGACCGGGCAACGAAACCAGTCAAACACCCAATGAATCACAGTATTTTGTTGAGGCTAGTCAACCGGTTACCATAGAGAATTTGAACAACTCGTATGCTATCTCATCGCTTGCGAATGATGATATGAAACGTGAATGTTTGTCTGCCTCACGTTTACCAGATATGCCCGTATCGCACTGTGATACAGGATCAGAGTTGAATAATAGCACCGAGCCGGGGAACTGGCCCACATTACTCAGTCCGTCAACAAACTCCAGTCCTACGGAGTTAAATTCGTCCACCCTACAACAGACTCCAACAGATCTACGTCATAAGCAACATAATCGGTCCACATCAAACCCACCTGATGACGTATTCACACAAATGGGACTTGTATCACCCACCAACACAACACCAACATGTCCATCAGTTCGATTCCCTCCGCGCGATCCACCTACCATACCTTCCGCGATGTTCAGAACCCAGAGAAACTGGATACCGATGCATCCGAGCCCTCAACAAACCATAGGAGACAAATTGCCTCCAACCGTTTCTGCTTTCTCCTCTCCATCGCCAATACACACACCACCTATGGAAGCGATTCAGCGTCAAATTTTTGAAAATTATTTTTGGACCACAGTACAACGACAATATTGTTTGTCTGTCTACCAGAATATACTACAAAACATGTTCAGTTCTGGAACAGGAACCACTGCAACCATGATGGTGAATACAACTTCAACGACTGCAGTACCACAGCCGCGGCCGCCGTCGACAACAGATCAGATAGCCCAGACCCAAGCCTTATCCTCCCGTATCCCATCGAAATATGTTTTATCTCACCGAAACACGTCGGTGTCAAGCTCACAATCTATTTCCTATTCACCAGACTTCACATCACCTGTGAAATTTACCCCCACGAACGGTAAACTTCGTCATTATACCCGAACACGTCAGGTGACAACGACCAAACCCTTCGACAATTCAACTACCTCCGATCCAGCTGCCGATTCCACGACGGACGGGATCACGTACGAGTGCAAACTGTGTCAGAAAACCTATACACAAGCGTCCGCACTGAAGATGCATGTTCGCACACACACGCTGCCCTGTCGATGTTCCCATTGTGGAAAATCATTTTCACGAAAATGGCTTCTCAAAGGTCATGAACGCACCCACACTGGCGAACGACCGTACGCGTGCAATCTATGCACCCGTTCGTTTGCCGATCGATCGAATTTACGTGCCCATATGCAAACGCATCAACGAGAGAAACGCTATTCCTGTCCCAATTGTCCTCGTTCTTTCTCGCGAATGGGCCTGTTGAACAAACATATGATCCAGTGTCGAACGATAACCAATGAAAAATTCAATGAATTCTCTGTTACCCGAAGATGTCGTCGCAATTCATCCGAATATGCCAACTAGTCGACCCGGTCAACAGATCTCTAGTTTTTCGGAGCTTGTATACTGCATAACATGTTGTTTGAACAGTAACACCCAGAGCAAGAGTGAGAGAAATACGGAATACAAATGCCAATCATGATTTATGCATATCGTGGAGATCTTTGTTAAGCCCATTGTAAATTATTCCTACTCAGCCCTTGAACACTGAACCAAGATTCTATTATTCTGTTGTCTTTGTAAATTCAACTCGTTTTTTTTGTGTGAAGTTTTCACGTTCATTGTGGTCATAGTCTCTTCTTTGGTTTCACACCGATTGGTGAGAGCGAGCGGGCGAGCGAGCGAGCGCACACAACAGAAAGAGAGACAAACCCGTTATTTACCCCCTCCCCTCACCCCTCCCCCACCCCCGGCGCCTAACACAGTCTATCTCTTACCAAACACCTCAGATGCTTGTATATCATACGTGGTTGATTAACTTTGTGCATAGAGTAAGTGTGTTTATGCATCGAGGTTGTCTGGCCCGCCTCCATCCACCCCCGGGCGCGTTCTCTCTCTCTCTCTCCGATCCTTGTTTCCAAGTCATTCATCTTTCGATCTGTAATTATAACGGCTAACAGTTAACTTTGAGAAATAAACTCAGCTATTCAAAATATTCTCGTTTCTCTTTTGTTTAGCACTCCATCCGATAGTTACAAACGAAGGTGTTGTTGGTGCGAGAGTGTGGATAGTTACGCAATTGATTTACACAGACGGCGCACGATGAAATCACCACGTAGAAAGGTGTTTCTTTGTGTGGGAGAATCGTTTTGGTACCACAGTACTGTGGCACACAGACATCTACTATGTACTGGGAATTCTTTTGAAAACACACAACAAACAAATCACAAGGGCATGTGCGTTATTTTACCTGTTTGGATAAAGGCTATTTACATACAGATCAGAAGTTGAACGTGGTGGTCTGGTTCGAACATGGGCCATTGGTAACCAGCTGAACTGGTTAAGTTCGACGCAAATATGGTGAAACGATAGTTTAAAACAGTTGTTGCTACGATATGCGCCCAGATTGGTGGTGTTGGTGATGGATTAGGATATTTAGTTGATTATATCAATTGCATAAACATGTTATAAGTTGCCTGTTAAACGCGTAACAAAATGATCATTCCCTGATTTTGCTGTATTTTCTATTTTACATCAGGACATTTAAACCGTGACTGTCAAACCCAACTATATTTGGCTCTTACGTTTTTACATCTGATTAGCCACATCTCTTGATGATATGCAACCTATAGGATATAAAAAACACCTAATCTCGAATAATGCAAATCTGTCACGAAGCCAGTTCGGATAACTGGAGTGCATTTTGTAACCACAAATCTACATAAGCCTCGAACCATGAAGACGATAAATGTAAACAAATTGTTTAGTTCGACGATGTGAGGAAGAAGCACGGTTTAGTTACTGTCTTTGCGTGAAAGAGTACAGAGAAGATTGGAATGCATGCGTGCCAATGTTTTTGTCATTCAAGCAAATTGATAGTGATACTCGCAATTAAATGTGAGTTAAACGTAACTCCCTTTGTCTACGGCCATGAATAAGGTGTCTGGTCTGAATATGTGTGTGTGTAAAACAGAAGTCTCCTGCACCTTTCTCGTTGACGACACCCTGGAAGTGGCAGAAAGCTTTATATACTTTGAAAGTTGTAAAACGGATAGCTGAGGTGTGGATGATGAGATCTTTCAGAACACCATCAAAGTAAGTTTGATGTTTGGTTGTCTGTGACAACTCAGGAGCTGGTTCAACATTCTAAACAATAAAATAGCGTTTCTGTGGTGCAGCGGTACGTGCCGCGAGGCATGGTCTCTTTGAGTAGCTACTACCCGGCCACCGTCTGTTTTCGACAACCCATGCCCATGTAGCATCACCCGCCTATGGTGGGAACATCGCGTAACAATAAGCTCAGATGAAGTGCATTAGGATCACCACCTTCAGTGGATGGGATACGTCTTACGGACGCCAGCGCACCGTCTGCCATACCGTGTTTAATTTGCTGACATTGGACCAGACTACGAGAGTACAAGCCATGAGGTGGAAAAGAGGGTTGGCGAAATTGTGTTCTGTACTGGTTCCCATTTGGGACTTCCAGGTTGAGGTCCCAAATATTCAGACGTTTTTCCGTATTCAACTCACAGTTACTTGTGCGCATTGGTGTAGGATAAGTTACATCGAAGTGAAATAATCAACATTCCGACTTCATTAGCATACACAATCGCCAG